GGGGGGAATATTCAGTACATAACCTCTGGATGAACACTTTAGAGGTCAGGACAGAACATATGTATATTTCTTTAATCTAGAGATCGATTGGTTTTCTTGTGTAACGAAGAAAAATTGTTAAACACTGAGACGATAAAAAAAAGGATTATAAAGTATTTCTCAGTGTATATTTAAAGATACCACAGAACCAGGATCCATAAAGCAACAAATATCTCCATTCAGAAGTTAAAAATAAACATAGAGGAACAACGCTGTCAGTGTGCATTATACAAGTTTATCACCAGAAGTGCTGAAACAACTAAGCTGGTGATGATTTGTTTCTTCAAAAACAGCTCAAGGAGCACAGACCAACTGCTTTCTTAGAACAAACTCAATCCTTTCACTGTTTTACCCAAAACAACCCTCCTTAACATAAACACCCAATTCCTGAAAAAGGCAGAAACAACTTCTGATGACAGTGACTTATGAGATACAGATGTATGGATAGCCTTTCCAGTTTACTAAAGAAAACAATGAAAATAATTAACTTGCTCTATACTTTATTCTCTAATTTGATCCCAGCTCTTATCCTGCATCTTACAGAGTAACTGGAAGAAACCAAATTTATATTTTGGATGATTAATATTTTTGAGTTGTTGTTGGGAACCACTTTTTAAATTGGCTACACGTCACATTTAACAGTCTGTGTCGGAGAATATCACACATGCTGAAATATTTACCCACGACAACCCAACATGTTGGATTTCCCCGATCTACCCCAATTATTTCATTTCTTCAAGTTGTATTTAAAATTCTGATAATGTAACAACATTTTAGATCATAAAAAGGTAAATGTAGAGTTATGTTGCCTTGTATCTGGTTATTTTGATTGTGTAGTAACTTACTATCTTAGTTATTTTTGGGACAAAATAAGTAGTAACTATACTAGTTATTTTTTTAAGTGCCAGATACTATCTACTTCTTCCATGTTTCCTGGACCAAAGTGTGCTGGGCGCGGCCGCTGGGTGAAGCCATGAAAGGTCCACACTGCGGACATGGGCAACTTTTTAAAAGTGAGGTGAATGACCTTGTAAAATACAAAAGTCTGAACTGAGCATTAAGACCTGGAGTAGGAACTTTTCCACAATACCAAACATGGCATCTTCTGTTGGCAGACTTATAATGATTTAGAGCAACTTAATTAAAACTTCCTGAACTAAAACACGCCTTATCTATATCATCCACGATATCATTATTAAAATATGTCTAAAAAACTGTAGTTGGTGATTTAAACCTTAGCAAAACATGCCTAGCAATTTTTTTTTCCTTTGTTTCTTACTGGATTAAGATGGGGCTACAATCCAATAAATTTCTCCTAAAGGGAAATTATTTAATTCTGCACTTCACACCCAAGTCCTTGGAGTCTGAAGCTATAAGAGCCACTTGAGAAATTTGAAGAATTGGGCCTTCGTGTTGGAAATGAACCAGTCGCTGAATAACTTTAGTGTTTGGGGAAGGGTCACATAGAGAAGCAGCATTCTGCATTTTATTTACGTTTAATGGCTTCTTTAGGGTAACACAATGACAGTCTTTTAATAGCATGAATAAGAGTCGACATTAAATCTCAAATCTTAGCAAAATGATCATGGTCTGTAACTTAAAAGGCTAACGAGAGCTGCTGTCATGTTCCTGTTTGTGTCTTAACCCTTTTCTTCGTTTAAGGTAATAAGGGATACTGAAACCATTCATATTTTAAACCAAACATATATTTCTTTACATTTCTTTATTTTTTTACGGCTATGTGAAGCAAAATGTTGTAAGCCTATACAACGCGTTACAGGATATATTTTTTAAGCTTTTAATATGGTTGAGTCACGTTGCAGTGTAGGTTAGATTCAAATACCTGGTTTCTGTTTTGTCTGTTAAAAAGAGAGCAGCTTTGCAAAACAGCACTCTGCTTCCTCTTTCTGCAGTGCCTACAGTTTCCTGTGTGGCATATTTTAAAGATGTTTTTCCTTTTCTTTAACATATGAATTCAGCCTGATTATGAAGATAAAACCTGATTGTGACAAACATTGACTTGAGATCACGTTTCTTAACCAATATCCTCTCTGTTTTGGTTAAAATCCTAATTTCTGTATGTTATGCTCTAAAAGCATCCAAAACTTGTTATTTCTGAACTAATTTCACAGTTTAATGTTTGGTTTAAGGAGCATTTAATGCCTAAAGGCCAATATGGCGAAATATTGCTAGTATTGCACACTATAATGACAACCCTCAATTTATTGAAATTTTTAAGAAAGTTAATAGATAAATAAGTTCATTATTGTAAAGAAAGAGGTCAGAAATTCTGTTTCTAAATGTTATTTACAAACAAAAATAATATTCAGTTCCATAAGTCAGTAACATTACTGCTGTTACAGCGGTAAATCTTTTAGTGGCATGTCTCCCAGCTCAGTCCATCTAGAGACCAGATTTTATTTGCAAAATGAGCTTCTGCCAAAATGGTTTGGAAGGATAAGATGTATTTTCCTTTCTGTTTTCCCTCAGGTACATTTAAGATCCAAAATGTGACTTGGTTTTAATTTAGCCTTCACAATGTTTCACTATAGGAGTGATTTGCAGCGTCAATTTTCTGCACAATTAGTGGTTTCCACATGGGACAGTCAGTTTAGTCTTTGTCTTAACCTCTCTACATTAACACACCTGAATCAAATAATCAGGTCCTTTGCACGACTCTGGAGAACTATAATGAGTTTGAATTCTGCGGCTGTGTCCTCCGAAGGCCAGATTCATCCTGCCAATTACATCATAGCGAGCCTGTTCGGCTTGAAACACTCCTCGTTTAATACAATACGTATGTATGGGAATAGTTCCATTTGAAATGAATAAAAATGGTTGTTTTAAATGGTTATTCAGCCAGATATGTGGCTGATAATGTTTGGTTTATTTAAAGGTTTTATCTGTCCCTGTGTAAATGGTTTTGGCTAACATTTAAGCACAAATTCCAATATCTCTGCAGTAGAGCCATGCATAGAGCAGGGAATATTAGCCCGAACCCGACGGGACCCGAGAGGTCCTGCCGGGTTCGGGCTGTACTTTTTATTATTTCATTCGGGCCGGGCCGGGCTCGGGCTTTAAACCGTTATATGCGCGGCAAATAAATGATCATGTGATAACGTTCGATCTATACGCGATGAATGCAAAATGGATGTTACAGAAGTGAAACGGAGATTAGCCCTTAATGCGCACAATTGAAAAATGTCGGGCTGCAAACGGGTCGGGCTCTACGAAGCTGTCAATCATAACGGGCCGGGCCGGGCACGGGCCTGGTTCTTTCGGACTCGGGTCGGTTTCGGGCTGACTTTCAAGGCCCGTTTCATGCTCTAGCCCTGCATTCCCGCGGAAGTCCCGCGGGACTCGCGGGACCCAACGCAAAGCAGTGCGGTGCGGGACAAACATTAAAAGCTCATTGCGGGTGCGGGCGGGAGGGAGAGCGCACAGTGCGGGTGCAGGCGAGAGCGATGATAAGCGAACTAAAAACATGTTTTAATATGTAAAATAAAGTCATAAATTATCAGTCTCATATCAGTCATATATATACATCACAATTCGCTGGGTGGGGCTCCATCATACAATGTTTAAAATATTAATTATAACTTATTATATTTTCAATTCATACGTGTAAGTGATGATGAGTAGCATAAGATTATGCACAATATATTCTTAATATCCTCAGTAGATTTTGGTAGGTTAGTTGGGTATTGCTGTGAAGCAGCAGCTCGTGCCACCTGACGCGCGTCATGCACTATGCGGTGAAGAATCGGGCATTAATGTGCTCAGCTAAGCACAGAGTGTTTAATTCCTCAAACTAATGACACAAATTACCTTGAGCAGCAGGCGAACATTGGAATCATGCAGAAATTGCAGGCGGGAGCAGGACAAACTATTACAGGTGCGGGCGGGAGCGGGACTGAAAATCATAATTCTTTGAAGGAGCGGGCGGGCGCGGGACTGGAAAATCTGTCCCACGCAGACCTCTACTCTGCAGTGTGGGGACTATAAATTTGCGATGATGGTACTGCTGCTGAAGCTCCTCGAAAATGTCGTTAGCACCCAGAACAGTGAATGCCGGAGAAGGCAGGACCTGCCGGGGAAGGCAGGACCTGTTTGAATCCAAAGCCAAAACTCTTCCAGCCACCTTATTTTGACGGACCTCAAAGAATCCAGTCCAGGTAGACAGTTTCCTTGGAGGATGCAGCCTCTGAAATTGAACACACCCATAGTCTTCAGCTGCAGAGATAATTTAGGTGTGTTGGACCAGGGAAAAAACTAGAAGTTCCAGGATACCGGCTATTGAGGGTTTCTGTTTGACATCCCTGGTCTTATCTCACTAGATAACCCCCACAAATGGCAGGGGGCTGCTTTAATTTTGTTTCTTTATTTTGTTGCTCTCACTAATCCATAAAGGCCATATCTGGGAAACACTTAGCTAACCGGTGTTAACAGATTCTCCCACCTGAGCTGTGAATCACAGCAGATCCTCCAGAGTCCAAACCTTTTAGTCTAGGTGGTTGTAATGTTTTGGTATTTGCTATTTGCATTTGCAATTTTTTTACATTTTCAAGTAAACAGTGGCACGGAGCTCTGTTAGACCTTAATAAACTTTTTTTTTTATTTTTTTATCTAAATTCAGCATCAAACCTCTCCACAGCTTTATTTTTTACATATTATTGGCATTGCGGATTTTTAAGGAAGTTTTTATATCACGGTTAAAAAGTGGGAACGCAGCACTTTTTCATATGAAAAAAGAAAAAGAATCCTCCCTTTAAGTCCAACAGTTAAATAATCGCTATGAAGTTACGACAGTTTGACAACCAGAGGGAACAGAAAGGCAAACGGGTCTCTATGAAAATGGTTTCAGAGGCCTCCGACTCAACTGACACATGAAAGACCACAGAGACCTTCCTGTGATGAAAGCTCTGCACTGAGGTGAAATGGGGGGACCAGGCGATCTTTACCTGTGGTCTGTCGCAGCTCCTCACACCAACTGATGTGGGGGAACTGCAGCATCTGCTTCCATTTCTTGCTTTTTCCTTTTCTGTTACCGCCACCTCCTGAGAAAATAAGAAGAGAAAAATGGGGATATTTAACTGGACACCATGACATGCAAAGGATGAGGAAACAGACAGTTTCAGTTTCGCCTCCCAACTGCTCACTGAGCTACATTTGAAGGAGTAAAAGGTTTAAATGTGATGATTGGATCACATTTAAACCTTTAATATATATTTTATGTATATGTATGTGTATATATATATATATATATATATATATATATATATATATATATATATATATATATACAAGTTATTTACCTTTTTTATGGTGTTAAGTTACAAAAGAGCAACATTGCATCAACATTTTTCTAACTCTGTTTATGTATCTGACATGAAATAACAGTTTAAGATTTCTACACATTGGAGACTAAAACCTGAGCAACACCATCTGACGTCCAAAAATTACTTGCCTCATTCGTGTTGTAAACGCGAGACCTTTAAAGGACATCTCTTACTTTTCAGAACATTTCCACAATGTTCTCTTTCTTCCAAAAAATGTTCCTACTTTCGCCACAGTCTTAGAAAACCCCAAATTTGCACTAAACTCTGTGCATTATTTAGGAACCCCCTGCTGTGAGTTTTGGTGGCTAGACGCTGTTTATAAACCTTTCTAGAAAAAAATAATGTGAATTTTTTACTGCATAAAAAGGGTGGTAGAAAAATACATTAACAAAATATGTAAAGTAAAATTTAGAAATGTATGTTATTAGAAATAGGGAAAAATAACACAAAAAATATTTGCTTCACATAAAAAAAGATGGACCAGATAGGAACGTTGTTCTTAATACACAAAAAATACACACGTCCATAGTCTCTCTCATAATCTCATGTGGTCATGTTTCTGCTCGCTCATGTCAACTTCTGTCACTTTGATGGTGGTACCCACTGTATACTGTAGGAACACCATATTTTGATTACCAAAAAGGAGGACACGTTGCCCAGCCTCAAGACGGACTTTCAGAGGTTTATGAACATGCTTTATTATACATAAATGGTAAAACAAATAAATAAAATTAAATATTGTTCTGCTGCTGCTCAGTGGCACAGTGGGTAGCACTGCTGCCTTGCAACAAGAGTTCTGAGTTCAATTCCCGGCCTGGGGTCTTTCTGCATGGAGTTTGCATGTTCTTCCTGAGCATGCAGGGCTTCTCTCTGGGTACTCCGGCTTCCTGCCACAGTCCAAAAACATGACTGTTAGGTTAATTGGCTTCTCTAAAATTATCCTTATGGTGTGAGTGGGTGCATGAATGGCTGTTTGTCTCTGCATTGCCCTGCGATGTTGAGGGTGTACCCCGCCTCTTGCCCGTTGACAGCTGGAGATAGGCACCAGCACCCCTCGCGACGCCACTTGGGATAAGCGTGTTTTTAAAAATGGATGGATGGATACCTCATTATAGGATTCTCTGTTTTCCCAGGTCTAACAAACTACCCAGTCAGCTTTGCAGAGGAGCTTGCACAGTTTTGTTTATGTTTTCAGAGTCCATGTGAGCTTTGAGATCTCTAGCACCTTTATTAGACACTGAAACATGTGTACCAGCTTTTCAGACGGTGCAATCAGCCTCAAAAATTTTTTTGCAGTTCATCTGTGAAGCTGCACTTTCGGCATTTCGGCTTCTTTGCTCCCTGTCTGTGTGTGCCACAAGGCAGACCCTCCAGAATTGCGTTGCACGACAAAGTACCGTAGTACTCTGTGCAAAGGGCACGTGGATTTAAGCATATGATTATGGTCCAATGAAAAATGGTGAAAACCGGACATTATCATGAATTTATAATCCCTATGCCCGCACAGAATGTAAAAAGTGGATATGTACGGGCAAAAGAGGACGTTAGGTTACCCTAGCATACTGTGTATATACTGTCATATAAACCTCACTTTCCTCAATATCCACAGTGAAGCTACTGCTAGTTTAGCTCAAGCTTCCAAACGTGGCATTAAATATCATTATGGCTGCTACTGTCAGTACCAATCATAATTGGCCTGTTTTTCAATGATGAATACACTGCCACAGGTTCAATGGTTTTGTTCATTCACGACAGAATGCAGTGCCCAACGAGAATCTAAGATAACAGGCATTACATTAAACTGTTATATCCTCTACTTTATACACTGCAGATATGTAAAAGTGCTGCCACATAGCTATCAAAAAGTTTCGGGAACTTTTATTGTACAATTTGCTGCGTTGTGAATGCTTCTTTGAGGTTTTTAATTATCTTGTTTGGCTGTCTGCCCAAAAGGTGGGAATCACTACGGCAACTGGCAGTGTGTCAACCTTCTAATAGGGCTAACTGAATGAAGTGGATGCAATCTTTTAAATTCAGCTGGAATTTTTGCTGCCAATATTCAAATTTCTTCTATTTTTCTGATATGTTATAGGAAAGAGGTTACTTTTTTTCCTTTTAGAGGGTCCCTTTTTTGGGACACTCTCAAATTCACCATGGGAGCTACTTTGTATTCAGACTTTGTACTCTCCTTTTACTACAAAATCTTGACAGTGAATTCTCCTTAATGTTGCCTCTTTATAAACAGGGATTGATGTTTTGAAAAATCAATTGCCTCATAAATTAGTGAATTAATAGCTTTTTTTATATTTTAATCCTTAAAACATAAAAAAAGGTGTTTTTTTATCCTCCGGTTAAAGACCGTTTTAGGTCACAAGACGTGTTACTTTCTGGCTTCCGGTGTGTTTAAAGCTTGTGACGAGTTTAAACTGTGGTCGTCCTCAGGGTAATGAATGGACTGAGACATGGTGGGAACAAGAGAAGCCAGAGGAAGTTCCTGTTCTTTCTGTATTGATGTTCTGTCTGTGACTCGATCCACAGTGACGCCGTTTCTGGTGCAAGTTCACTTACCACAAAGCAAGACATGAGCCGACACGATGCCTGCTGTGCTACTCCAGTTGTGAGAGAGTTTCAAGTCTCTGCAGGCTCATTAAGTTTAAGTGCAGTTCAAAGGAAGCCACAATCATTTTCCATCGTATTGCTTTTCTAGTTTTATTTTCACTTTGTTTTATTACTACTAACGTAAATCTAATGTTTTCCTTAATAGATCAAATGCAAATATGCATCCATTTTCTCAGCATATGTTAATTGTTTAAGATAAATATGAAATTATATGCAAATCAAAATCCTGAACAGTACTGCAGGGCTGCACACTAAATAGTCTTATGAAAGATATATTTTCATAAAAAAAAAACATAGGACATTGGGAGAGATCAACATGCAAACATGCAACGCTGATTTAATACAAGCGTCTTTGCCCTCACAACATTTTATGAGGGATAAATACCACATTAGCTTTTCGATAAAAACACGTTTTAGATTTAATCAAGAAGTACATTCAACGATACAAACCCAGCTGCCATATATGCAGAGATGCAGCAGTAGTATATTTCACAGATATTATGACTTTCCAATCCACATATTCAATTCAGTTCTGTACAGATTCCATTTTTCTGTTTTATCTATTGGGATTTGGTATTGCTATAAACATCTCAGTTTCTACTGGTTTTTATAAGTGGTGTAAATAATAATCGTTTTGTATCGATGCATCGATCCAACAGCCGACAATCTGATGCATCGATACGTCTGCAAGAGAATCGATTCATGTTTTTTTTTTTTTTTCCCCCTCCGGTCTATTTTTATCCATTTGCTCCTGGGCGTAATTCTCCCTCCCGTCCTGCGGTGGTGCTAAACCTATTTTGCCCTCCTACCTCGCTTCCTGGTTATACTCTTACAGCAGTTTGTTCCAGTAAGCTTGACACAGACATTTTTGATTTATGCTCAATATTGAAGCGTGGTCTGAGCTACACGCTGTGGGTCTAGATACGGCCGAGGCGGTGAGGAAGTGTGGGCGAGTTTAGTCCAACGACGGAGGGACATGAGGGCCAAAAAGAGCTGAGATCCAGGTGGAAAAAGGGTCCCAGCGTTCTCACGCACCTCGCTCTTTTAGCGGATCAAACTTCAAGAGTTGTTTTCAGCAATTTCGGTCATAAAAACAAAACAAGCCGACCTCCTGTCTGCGGTCAGCTACAATTTGGGAAAGGAGCATCTGTGGAGGGGGCGGGGACGTCCTGAGCCGAGGTATTGCATTGCTCTCATTGCACTGATTTTTGTACAGCATTTTTTGATGCAAGAGCTTTCAGAATCTATAACGCAGGGGTATTATTTTTCAGTAATTGAGGTTTTAATAGGAATAAGTGGAGTGCAACTTTTCTACTTCTGTTATTTGCTGTTGTTTCTAAAAATAAAATGCATAACGATATTACAGCTTTCATTGATTTATTTCAAATTTTAAACATTGTCTAGCCTGTAAGGTGTTTTAAAAAAAAAAGAACCAATTAATCGTATCGTATTGTGGTGTATTCTTGAGTATTGAAAATAATCGAATCGTTGGGTCAGGAAATCAATACTGAATCAAATCGCCATGATGGATGTGATTTTCACCCCTAGTTTTTATGGTGAAATTTCTGCTAAGAACTACAAAAGCATACTACCGGTAGTAGACGCCTTTGTGAAGATTTACCCAACACATATGCAAAATGTCTTCACACGTTTGGTTAAACATATCTACCAATAACAAAAAAGTTTAAAATTCTAATTTGTCATTTATGAATATTATGTAAATATTCTGTAAATTATAATTTAAAGAAAGATACAGGATTACTCTACTAAAGAAAAGGGCAAAAATTCTCTTTGTTCTTTAAAAATCAACCTTAAAGACAAACTGCTAAGCAAAAAGTCCTGAGATATTTATTATGCAATAACTACAATGATAGACAAGAACAATAGGGTAAAAGTATTTATTCAATTTCTGGGATGCTTACTTATCTCTATTCTGTTTTTAGACCAACACTACTTGACCATGTGTATAAACACGGTTTAAAATGTTAACTGAAAGCATAAAGTTACTTTTTTCCAGCAGCTTTTAAGGCGTGTTTGTTCCAGAAACAGACTTCTCTGATGATAAGAAAAATAACAGCCGTGTTCCAGGATTTTGTATT